GCTCCTCAAGGTCACGAACCTTGACCATGAGTGAGTCCACTAGCTTACATCGCTCGCAGATAACATCCGACTGGACACTAATGTCCAGAAGGGCAAACATCTTGCAAACGCAACACTGAGCCGGCGCCATAATTAACTAACTGACTATGACCCCATACTCCCAGCCCAGTAAATTTATATAGTGTATTTAACTATAAAGATTAATTTGCGTAACGATAAATGCAGTAAAGTGCCGAGTACACTAAAATAAGTTACTTGTGTTAAAACAGAACTTAATTATTATTTTTATTTAAAATTTTAAACCTGATAAATTTACTACTACTTACCAGAAGAACTTCTACCTGAACCAAGTATGAACTAAAAACAAGGCAAAATCAAAGTTGCTCTTGGGAGGTCGAAAAACCACAAAAACCCCCTCACAGCAGGCTACTGCCGGAGCGGGAAAAAAGTGGAAAATGTCCTCCCGGCCCCGACTGGCGACCGAGCAAAGCTCAGGAGCAACTGTTCTTTTCCGGCGCTGGGTAGCAATACCGACGTTAGATATTATTAGATATTATTAGTTATTATCACCCCGTGGGTGTTTGTTACGGAGTTAAACGCGGACAGAAAACGCCGCTCACGGGACACCCACAGCTCACTGTCGGTAATAATCACACTGTTAATTAAAAGACAGGACAGACAAGCACTCACGCCGACCGAAATAAGAACAATAAATAGAAATAAAACAGCCACCCACGTAAACAGGTAAAGCACACAAACACGCAAAATATACGCTCAAAATACGTTCAAAACACTCCAAAAAACAATCCCAAACAATCGCTGCAGCTCAACACCACTCTCTCGCAGCAATCCCAGCAATCCTTGCGCACAACCATCTATCTTTTCCTCGTCCGTTTTTTCTTTCCGCTCGGTAAGGATAATTTCTCGCCCCTGATTTTCCTCTTTCCGGCCTAAATTTAGATACCTCTGTAGCAATTGGTTGTATCTCTTTACTTTTTCATGCAAATTCATACCCGGCTGGTTTAATAAAGCGTGCATCTGGTTTTCAAGTTCACCCAGGGCCGATTCACCCTCTGGGTCAGCATACCGAGTTGTTGGGGACTCAGCAGGAACATTTTTTTTTTACCTCGCTCATGCTGGTGATGGAAAAACAAAAAAGCTAGTTAGCCATATTACTGGCGAGCGACCAGGCTTGTGATGAATGGCAGAGCCACTGACAGCAGCGGTAATAAAAATCCTCCTTTCTGAAGCACGGCCTTGCGTTTCCTCGCGACGCTGTTTTTCTTACAGGCGAAAAGCCTAATCAACCTTTTCTGCTTCTTAAGCTTGATAAATTGAGGTACGGTTAAAGGTATATGGCCTCTTATAAGATTGAGACAGATTTCGGAGAGAGCCAAAATTATGTCATTAGATGAGTCCCCTAGAATCTGTTTACGTTTCTCCCCCCTGGTCCTCTGTAAAACTTTAAGGGTCGGCAGGTGTTTCCTGAGATGCTCGGACATGGCTCAGTAATGTTAAATCAATCAATGGCTCGCTGGTAGAAAGAGGACGGGGAGCGACCCCGGTAGTACACCGGTCCTGAGTCGAAACTCTTCTAGACACGTAGTTCTTAAATCGACCAATACATACCCGTGCGCGGGTCGAGTGGCCTCTTCATAGGCATCTAGAAAAAACTTTTTCTGCCAAGGAAACATTTGCTGAGCTAAAACTTTGATTTTCATTCTGTCTCACACACTCTTAAACAGACAATAATAAGTAGTATTTAGGGCTATAGTCCTACTGTACTTGCCCTGATGAAATATATTCTGCAAGAGGTAGATGACCGAGATTTGACGGTGATGTATGAACCTCGTGAACGCTTCTGCCACGAGTTTATTTTCGGACGCGCTGTCCATCAAATCATCGATAATTATCAAGGAGCTGGAGGGGAAGTGCTCCTCATCTTCCCAGCTTTTAGGCAGCCCTTGTATAAATTCAATTTCGCTGATCTGTTCACGCAATTCATCATAAAGCGGCTGATGGGAAGCGTAACACCACACAATTTTTTTAACTGGTGCCCCTATGAAACAGTGACTCTGATTTAAAAGCAATTCTTTAGTGAAATAGGTTTTCCCTGAAGAACTTGCCCTGGTGATTATCGCCGTAAACGGCAATTCTACACGGTGATCAAAGTCTACCTCTCTCATGCCGCTAGCCAATCTGATTTTAATCAAGCTCTTAAGATTTCAAGAAGTCTGTGGATCCATGGAAAATTCCGGAGCTTCTACAATTGTTCCAGTAGACATTCAATTTTACCTGGATAACGTTTGGAACAAACCGGATTTGTGAAAAGTGGACTTTCACATTTAATTGGCCAAAGACTGTAAGTAGTTCAATTATCATTGCATTGCATATTATTATTTGTAAGGTAATTGCTACATGATCGCGGGTCTGGTTTACTAACCAACACTATTCAGAGATGGATTATGAAAACCTGCTGTCAGCAATATCCAAACTTCAATGTCCCAAAGCTGTAAAATGCTTCTCTACTCACTGGAAAAATTAACCATCAGTACTTGATGTGCCATGCTCCAACATAGTAGCTGAGACAGCTGTAAAGTTGATGGAGGAGGTTCATTCTACTTGCAAAACTGACAAATATCTTAACAGCAAATTTATCAACACTAATACACAAATCTGAAACACTATTAAAAACATCCCCATACCATTCAGACTCACCACACATCTACCCCCAGTACATCACATGGTGACACTCCAAATATAGACCAAGATGGGGGACAGAGTGGGCAGTCAGTTTTAGTTGAGAACCAGGTGATTGTAGAGGGTGGGTCAGAGGGGAGGGCACCATCAGAGGATGCAGATAATTCTAGTACAGACAGTGAGAACCTGCCAAGATTAAGTTGACCTCAGAGAAGTACAAGGGGTCAGCTCCCTGTGAGATTCAGGGACTATATCACGAAATAAGTTTGGGCATGATTGTATCTTCTTCTGCACCATGATTGTTCCATTATGATGTTTGTAACCCATGCTTTCCATTGTTGATGATGAATGTTTTGCCCAACTTCCTACTAGTTGAATGACCGTTTGAAAGTTTAAATGTATACCAATGTTTGAGTTCAAATACTGTGGAGAAGTCTCTTTAGTGGCAGGGTTTGAAAGAGGGGAATGTGGCGGTCTATGAAAGAATGGTTTATTCCTCAGGATTAATTCCCCTCCCACTAATGACTGAATTCTTCCCTAGCGAATTGGTGACTGTCTAGAACTGTGATCGAATTAAAAAAAAAATAAAGAGGAGAGAGATATAGCGGCGATATAATGGAACTGACGGAAGTTCAGGGGGTGTATGGAAATTAACGTATGGCTGTGTAAAAGCGATAGAAAAGAGCAGCTGCAGTGGGAACAGCGCGAGCATGAAAGGACTTCTGAGGCACAAGGGAAATGGATAAAGGCTCGCAAACTCTGCTATAGTAATGGAGGAACCCCCGGTGAATCTGTTCGGCTAACATACACAGTTGTCTTCTGTGTTCTCTTTCCTTCTTTCTGTGAGCATTCCCTGCCACTCAACTTCAGCCACAACAGTGCTGAGCACGCAGATCGGACTTTTACAACGAGGTTTTGGCTACTCCCTCTTAAATTGGACTCTAAAATTTACAAAGGTAGAAGTTTCACAAATGTTGTGCGAGCTATATGACAGGATGTAAGCTGTTGGATGGACTGTAATACTATTGTGAGGTGTTTTTGTTGTTGTTGTGAAACTGGTGTTCTGAGGGCTGTTCCACGAATCAGGATTTCTTGCTTAGCTGGATAACTTGACGGATTTAAGGTAGTCTTGGCTAAATGTAAGGGAATGAAAATAAAGTCCATTTTGCCCAGACTACCTTAACTCCAAGAAGTTATCTAGCTAAGCAAGAAATCCTCCTTCATGGAATACCCCCCTGGTGTTATGAGGAAAGTTGGATAGTCTCTATGTTAAGTTAGGAAGTTGTCCCCTTAATGTACCAAAAAAGTTAAGAGCATGGCCTTATGCTGAGGTAAGAGGTAATTTGATTGCTTGTTCTGTTTGTTTCTTTTATTTATTTCTGACTGAAAAACTGTTTGCCTATCAGCATTGTCTGGTAGCATAGTGAGAGGAAAGGGGGGTGGGTTGAAGGTGGGAAAACATTCATTCAAGCCCATGCCAGTGATATTCAGATCCAGCTCTTATCCATGTAAGTAGAGTTAGGTCGTTAACTTCATTTTAAGGAGTCCAGCCTGAGTCGTTACAATTGCTTTGCTGACACATTTATACAAAACACATTAGAATTTCCTTGATTTTGGCCTTGTGCCGTATGCCGCTTATGACATGCTCCAGGTCCTCTGTAACCTTGACTGAGATAAGCACTTATAAAATGAATGCATATAATATTTTGTCTAAGAAAAGTCAATTTACAAGTTGTTCATCCAAAATGTGCAATCATTTGTTTAGAGGTGGAACTGGTATTACATGCTGACTTCCATTATGAAACTGATACTTGCATTATAGAACTGAATCTAGACTAACGGAAATTGTGCGTCATCACTGTCATCCTGTGTGACAAATATGTTGGTTGACATTTTCCTGCACTACAAAGAATGTAATGACTGTTTATGAGAAATGACAAAACTGACAATGTTGTGTCCTTATCAAAGTGTTTTAGATCTATGGCTTATCTTCTCTGTGTTGTTCTACTTACATCAAGGTGAGAATCAGTTATTTGTTTTGCCTTGTCTTGATTTTTAGTAGAAATGTCTATTTATACTAAGATTGCAAAGTACCTTACATAAATGATTTTAAGGCAAATGAAATATAAAATTATGGAGAATGGAATGGAGATGGTTTCATTATGGAAATGAGTCTATTGGAAAGAATTCAGTTGGACTGAATCTATCAATAGGTATTCAAGTCAGATTTCATTTGTTGCTCAGGATGTTCCACCCTGGTGTCTGTGACCGAGAATCCCAGCATTATTGTCTCACAACTGGATGGTAATGTCACTTTGAATTGCCAGTTTTTCCACACTTCTGACGAGATGATAACGGGACCCATTCTGTATTGGTATTATGGAGCAGATATGTTTATTTACCCTAAAGCCTCACCACAGTACCAGAATCGGGTGGTGGTTCTTAATCTTGACTTGAACTGCAGGAACAGTTCCATCATTTTGCTCAGAGTCCAGTGGGAGGACAGCAGAAAGTACCACTGCATGGTGTCCTATGAGAGAGCAGGCATGGGTGCCAGGACCAGAGGACAGGGAGTCATGCTTCAAGTTCATGGTAACTTCAGTTGCCCTATGGCTGGGTTTTTTGTGTCTATTCATAATGGCAGATGGCAAAATATTTGCAGCAATAAGTACAACAACCTTTTTCACAGTTTTTGATATCAGAATTATTTTGAGAGGGAACACTACCTTTCTGGGTTTCTGAACAAAGCAGAACCATTAGCAGCACTCTTTACCTTTTTCCCAATATATACATATACAGGCAAAGTGTGACAATGCAATGTTGAATCAAATAAGGCTTCAGGAAAGCAACTAACAGTATGATAGTACAATCATATTATTAATCATATATGCACAATATTATAATGTGCATGGACATTGGACTTGCTATGTTTTTCCTAATATAGAAATATATTATGTAACATTAAAGACACACTGTATATATTTGTGTATTTATTTGTGTTCCAGGACCCATGACCTTTAACATTTCTGATGAGTTAAAACGCAAACTACAGTGCAACATCGAAGTGTCTGGAAACTCCAATTTATATCTCACCATGTTCCGTGATGGGAGAGAAGTGGCCCGAAGCCAAAATGACACCAGTGACCACCACACAGGACTGTCAGCACTCATTCCATTTGAAAATGGCAGGGAATACGAGTGTCAGCTCAACTTGGGCTCCACTGTTGTTCTGACCCGGTCATTCAGGTTGCAGAGTGAGTTGACTTCTGTGTTTGCATTTGTCCTTATTTAATTTTAGGCATGAGTGTAATGACAATGCAGTGTAATTCAGTGTTTGTGAAAGCTGTTGGCTCAAGCCCTGTACACACTAAACTTCCATTTGTCCAGGAAGTTACCCATAACTGTACAAAAATGCTAATCACTTTAGATAAATGCATCAGTTATATAACTAGTATTCTGATCTGTAAATGTATTGGTATAGTCTTTGTTGAATGTATTCCCCACTGTTAAAGCACCCACTTTTAATGAAGCCCACAGCTGATGGAGCTGTTTTCACCCCACTTCCTTTTTAGAGCCCCATGCACAGGACCTTCCAGAACCAGTCTTCTTGTATGCCATCATTCTTCTGATTCCCCTCAGTGTCCTCCTCTTTTTTCTTGTGATTCTTCTCATCCGCAAAATATGCTGCAAAGGCTCTGGATTCCCATGACTGTGCATAGGATAAGCATGTATAAAAGATGGATGGATGGATGGAGACAGGTACAGAATAAAAAACCATAAATATGGATTTAGGACAGGATGTCTTCAAGTGCCATTATTACAAACTCTCAACTGCAGAGTTCAGACATGAAGGTATTGTATTTTCCAATCTAAACATTTAAAACATGAAGTGCTAGTGTAGAGGTGTACGGTATGACTGTGTCTGTTTGTATGTGTGTGTGTGGATTATGTTTATATTATATTGTGGGGACCAAATGTTCCGCACAATGTGATAAAAACCTGCTATTTTGGCGTTGTGGGGACTAGTTTTCAGGTTCCCACAAAGATCTGTGAGTGCGATCAAAAAACTTATGGTTAAGGTTAGAGCTGGGTAGGGGTTAAGGTCGTCATGTTGGGATTAGAGTTTTCCCCATAGAAATGAATGGAAGTCAGGGTCAGCACCCGTTTGTTCCAGTCTTTCATGTCTTCTCCCTGTTTGGCCAGCAGATGTCACTGGCCATCTTGTCCTCCTTGTTGTTAAAGTCTTTAGTGTGTTTCCCTTATTCCCTGGATTGCCATGTGGCTCAAAGAGTTGAGTATGTGACCTATAAACTAGCGGTGGTCAATCTTATCCGCAAAGGGCTGGTGTGTATGCAGGTTTTTGGGGTAACTTTTAAGTCAGCTGTTCAAACCCAGGTGTGAGGACTCCTCAGCCAATCAGTCCTCTAATTAGTAATATAATTAGGGAGCTGCAGCGAAAACACACACACACACACACACACCCTTTGTGGATAAGATTGGGCACCCCTGCTATAAAACCTGTTGTCCTCTAATTGGTAATATAATTAGGGAGCTGCAGCAAAAACCCACACACATGCACCCTTTGTGGATAAGATTGGCCACCCCTGCTATAAAACCTGTTGTCTTGTGTTCAAATCCAGCCACCTCTGTTTGTCCTTAGTAGATTTTGTTCCCTAGTGTTTCTTTTTGTATTAGTCTTTTTCTACTTCCTGAGTTTAGTGGTTTGCGTTGTTTTGGGTTTTGCAGGGTGCTTGTGGTTGTGTTTTACTTGTCTTTGTTGTTCCCCTAGAGTTCTCCCACTAAACATTGGACGTCGGATAGGCGTGCAGATCATGTCTATATTTGGTCCGTCAGTCCATGACTAATTCTGGACATTTATAGAATGTCCAAACTAGGTCCACAATTTGAACGTCCATCCATGACCCAACTTGCACGTCAATATGACATTCAACATTTGAACGTAATTTTTTTGACGTTATTT